GCCGTCTGCCGGTCGGTTGGGCAGAAAACAGTTGCTTAGGTTTCCTTTCTGGAGACATTCGGAACACATGTTGAATGTTTATAAAAAAATAATACATCATTTTACATTAGATTTCCAAAAAATGTCTAAACCGTAGTGTATGAACTGTTGTAAAATACGATGGTCTAGTAATCTGTACGTTTACGGTATATTTCTATATTTCAATAGCAAGTCTTAAGAGATGTGGTAGAAATTTGTCTTTTGCTACATCGTCCTCATTTTCTCGCAGCTTCTCTAGCATTCTTCACAGATTTGGCCGCTAGCGACTTTACCATTTAAGACGTTGCATTAAGGCAAATGCCAGGACAAAAGCGAAACGGTGGGAGAAAATGTTGCCCAAATAATCGCAGATGACCTGACAACTTCAATAACAGTGAAATGCAGAAATACTAATCAATAGAGAAGTGAGAATTCACTATATCGAGAGCGCCTTCAGTGGTGGCTGAAGATGGCAAAAACGTAGTCTACTTTAATCAGTGTTGTATACAAGCTACGCATCCGGAGCAAACTGCATGTGGCCAAGAGTTGTTGTTATAGTTGCAAACGGGTCAGGCTACCAGTGTTACCCTTTATTGCCTTTTGTCGGCTAAAGTTCTGTACATACGTCCCGTTTCATGGCTTGCATAGTTTATTAAAATCTGAATCCGAAAAAAGTGACAAGACGAAAAGCAATTCAATCTACCCATGAAGACGATGCCGGAGTCCGTGACCGGCTTCTCCTCAGCCAGTCTGACAATCTGTTCGTCCTTAGAAAGAACGGCCCGCTGAAGCGCCATTACTTCCTGCTCTTTCGCTTCAAGCGTCTCCTCCATGTGCCTAAATAAGTTCCCTTTTGAATTGCAGCTAATGCAGAAACATGCTTTCATTAAATACTGTATTTTAGCATTCATTTCCTTGATAGCAATTTCATGGTTCGAATTGTCGACCTTCAATTTGTGGACCTGTTTCTCTGACTTAAGAAACATCAGGAGCCGCTCTTCCTCCATGCCGCTGTTCTTAAGCAGTGTTTCCATGCTGTCCATCTGATCCTGGCTTGCCTTCAGACTACTTTGCAGTCCATCGATTAATTCCCGGGCAGCCGTAAGCTCATCTTGCAGATCAACACATTTCTCTTTGAGGCTACTGGCAACGGAAATCAGCTAAATATTCAACGGTTAAGCAAAAATTCCGCGTTTAAGATTTGTCGCAGTAACCTGGCTGCAATTGGGGCACTGCTTCTGTGTGGATAAGACAGAAAGCTTGAGAAGACGATGAAACATTGCGCCGATCTTCTCGCCACCCGCAAGGCCACTGACTAAAAAATACTGCCATTTCAGAACTCCCGCATTTCGATAATAGTACCAAATTCCTTACCGTTTACACTCGTTCCAGAATTTATAGAAAACTCAACTCCCTCTTCTGGAACTGCAACGCTATACTCGTCATTATTGACCGGATATTTAAGACTGTTCTCCTTCAATTCTCCATCCTCCGTTATGTAGAACACAGACTTATGCATACTGAAACGACCCTCATTTTCCGTGGGAAACAAAGCGCCTGCGCCGCCGCCGGCACCTGCACCAGCGTGAGAAGTACGTTCGAGAAATTTGGAGAGGTGTGGCAGTTTTGTTACAACTTCCGAGTCGGAGTCATGTACTTTGTCATTGTGCTCCAAACACCAGTGCCGTTCGTTCTGCAAGAGTTCCAACCACCTGAGGCAAGACGTTCTATCGTGTGCCTCAAATGACTTCACCTTCCCATTGGACCTGAAAAACTATTTCAGCGAGCAGCTAGTTGACATAAGCTAATCACAGACTTTGAAATGCTGTGCGAAAAATTAACATACGCAAAATTTGGATGCAACCCCAAAAGAATCAATATATAATTGCGAAAGTTTTATTTTAGTTAACCAACGAAATATGCTTCGCAATTCACTGCATTCCTCCCGCCAATAAGCATGATACCATTGTTTGCTAATTAATAATTGTGTAACTTCAACGCAACAGGTTTCACAGTGCTACCGTATCAGATTGAAGTTGCCCAGTCGGTAGAGCTTCTGACTCAGACCCAGGAGGTACCGGGTTCGAGCCGCGATAGGATCACCGCATTTATTCTTACCGATGTTGATAAACGAGTACTATTCTGTGGGAAGGAAACAGAAGGCTATACAGGCTACTTCCTACATGGCTGCTGTTGACTGTGCATTTAAAATTAGGCACTCCTGACTGATGGTAAGAGATCAGCGACACATAATCAATTTAATGAAAAGGGGCGGAAAAAATGATCCCATCATGAAAGTGTAAGGAAGACCGATCTTCGAACGATCACAAGTTTTCCTTTCCTTTAAGTACCATCCCACGCTTCTAGAATACGCTCTTCTAATGGCAAAGACCCTAACTGTTTATCAGAGCAACAAAGAGGGCAGGATTGAGGAAATTAGTCAATGTCGATTCCTCGCTTCTTCATATGCAGCATGCTGCGGTATTCCTTTGCGTTCGTTGTTTATGAGACTGAAGCTTGAAAAAAGAAGTTTTATGTTGTAGCGAAAAATGAAAATTTAAAAGTTGGCAAAAGTTCACATGGTAAGCTGTGGTCGAAATTCGCAAACTGCAAGCTCGTAAATCGATACATAGGTGCACTTAATAAATATTCCTTAGAATGCAGAAGTACCGTTGTCTGTGCTTTTGCTATCACCGCCATCTAAGGTCAACCGTTTAATATAGTGTTTCACAGTTAAATTAAGCAACGTTCGTTTAACTGCGCGACAGATTACATTTACCGTAATTTATTCAGTGTTTTATGCTTCGTGTATTTATTTAGTCATATTGAAACTCACCACTGATAACGTCTGGACAATATAAAGTTGTAGAAAAACTCAATCCAACTGAGGGCCATGAATGCTGCGTACCGCAAGACATTTCAAAACATCAGTTACGCATAATATAACGCAGGACAAACCATTTAGTGCTCAAAGTGAGCATTTATGCCACTCAAGGTCCGTTTGAACAATAGTGTGCCCAAAACACAAACTGCATAACTGAGTGGAACATATACACATAGCTCACCTTATTTCAAAACAGTGAGGTTGCTTAGGGTCAAAGTAAAAAGCTGCCGTAGGCAGGTACACCCTGCCGACAGGTACCACGTCCTTGTCATTATGGTAATAATAAAGGAACCTTCCACCATGTTCCAAAACGAACCATCGCTTTTTAGCCGATTTCAAAGGACCTGAAAAAGCGCGACAGAATGAACACAGACATTTGTTATTACCGAAACTACTATACCGATCGATTCTATAAGTTTGAGATAACCAGAAAAGTTCTGAAATTCTTTGTTGTCTTGCATCGACAAGCCAAAAGACCGGAAGCCAAACTGTCTGCTACTAAAGTGGAAAAAACAGCTACAACGATTTCTTATAGTGCATTACTACGCTATGCATTGTGAGGCATCCTGTTACAGTGCAAGATCCCCATGCTTTCAAGCTTGAGCAGTCGTTTCACCCCATTACCGCCATGAAATACCAGGATCAGAACTTGAAGTTGATTGATCAAAATTTGATCAATTCATAGTCAAAAACTCTAATCGTTCTGGAGGAGGGAATAGTTGCTTCATTAGCCCCTTCCAAAGGTATGGATCTGCCGATGAAACAGACAAACACTGTAATGTGCATTTCAAAGACAGAATTCTATGTCTTCCATATAACCGAGCCATTTGATTTTAGGTCAAACCTTTGGCCGCCGTAAACCTAGACCTGTCAATAACGCACGGCGATATCATTAAATTCGTTACGTCTGATAACGAAGGACTGAGCTTCTACTAGCACATTTTGAGTTAATCAAGCTTCTTTACAGCATTAATCAATGAATCAATAACTCTGTGAATAAACAGGCAAATGAATTAACGAAGGGATTAATAGATAAATGAATGAATGAATAAACAAACAACTGAATCGATAAACCGTATCAATGGATAAGGATTTCTAAAACTCAAGTCAATTCTAAGTTTTCTTCCTAAAAAACTCCGCTTGCCTTCAGGCCGACCAACGCAATTTGGCTGAAACACAAGCGGTTCCATAAAAGACCTTTGCCCATGTCTATTATTTCTGTCCAGAACCAAGCGTCAATTTTTACAGTGTAAAAATTTATTGGTTGCTTAGGTTTTATCGAAGAATATCACTCTTCGGCACAAATTTTTCTCGGTATTTGTATTTTTGATTGCTTGGAAGACATTGCTCAAGTACGTACGATCGGGACCGACCGATGAGACCGGCTTTCCTCAATCAATAGCGCATCAAACTCAGAACCGATACATCCCGAGTTCAAGACCCCCGGAGAAGGGGGGGGGGTAGTTACTCGCCCTTGTTCCTTCTGAAGTTAATAAATGATGACAACTCCGAGGGAAGGAAACGGGAGACTACACATGTCCGTAAACTCTGCCTTTGAAATAATAGGACAATCCTGGTTGATGGCAAAGAAATGTTAATCAGCCCCGCATCATAAACTTCATGAAAATAAAGGGGCCAAAATAACTCAACCATGAAAATGAAGGAAAACCAACATTTCAGCGGTGGCTTCCTTTCCTTCCTTCCGATGTTTTTGAGTGGACTTGTCGCATACCTGACATTCTGACTGTGCACTGTAAACTGAGTTTATGAAAGTTCATCGTCTGGAACCGTTACTGACTTGACTTGCAACAAAGACGAATAGTATGAGTTTCTGTAGCCATTCCGTAATGTTTGAAAACGTCATAATCGCACCAATAATCAACGCCAATTGTAAATAATATGGGACCTCAGAAAGCAAGTGGTATGACAAAAGGATCATATTCCCTTGAGGGATAAAATCGAAATACACCTCGTAGGTATGTTCGGGTGAAATATTAATTCTTCGGACGGATTACTTACTCATTACTTATTAAGTCCGTCACAAAGTCAATAGGATGACGACATAATCTTCCAAAAATGTCAGTAATTACGCACCAATATTATATAATTAATATATTAACTACGCACTGCAGGCGCACAAATACAATGGAGTCGTGGCTTGTCTAAATGGTCTTCAGAGGGGACTAGAAACAATGTTACGGTAAGATCCGGTTTAAAGACTTCTGTCATACACTACCTCATTATCGGTGTAAAGTAAAGAAAAAATCTTCCGTCTTTACAAAGAACATTTTCGCCGAATAAATGCGGTATCAGTATTGGAAATATTAATAGCTGTTGTGCTAAGGTGTTAATTATAAACAAACGTTTTTACGTATCGTAGAAAATTTGTTGGCTAAGCAGAAATGAGACCAAAAACTTCAACTACTTGCTCGCTTTAAAATGAACAAGTTTGGAAAACGGTCAGACTTTGTTGGATGCATTAGTTAAATAGAAGTGATGTATTATTTCATACGGAAGCATGAAGTAATGTGTCATTGACGAATCGAGTGAATCCAATGACGAAGGTATAACAGAACGACAACTACGTAAGAACTGTCAGTCATTCTGTCAGCTGGTAAGGATTAGCAAGTTTGTCTCAACCTAAAGTTGACTCGTACCATTCGAGCGGTACGCGTTATGTATTGCATTATTTTCACTACCGGAAGATGAGTAGGTGACTGCTGTTCGGTCTTGAACTTTAAAGCCGCCGGTTGAGATACGACAAATATTTTCTCTCATTGCGCGTTAATTCCCTTTGAGCAACGAATTCAACCTACTTTGTGATCAAAAATGAGAATCAGCGGTTTGTCGACTTTCGAACAATATATTCGGCATCTAATTCAAGTGCTGTCATGCAAACATGCAAAGTTTACGGATATACTGTCTAATGCATGCACCAGCTGTTGCCCCATCTGATAGCGATGTGTAAAAAGCACAATGGCTAATCCGTAAATAAAAAAACATACAAAAGAGCATAAGTTACGTACCGAAATTAATTCAAATCAGATTTGGAAAAATTCGTCATATTCGTGCGATCTTGCTTGTCACTGCACTCACACCTTCGGCAAACTACGTACCTTCAATAGTGCACACACTGGTTCATTAATAAAGCAAGAAAAGTTTCAGCTCTACAAGAACGGTAGGTGAAAAATGGAGAAAACGCATTCAATGGATAATGGCTGAATAAGGAGCGAATAAAGGTGAAAACACGTTTAAATTGCTTGACGCGATTTCCGTCGCATCAACTGATCGATGTGAAAACGCCATGTATAAAGCGGTGCATTGACATGGTTGATTTGCTAAACATTTCGTGAATGGCCATCAGCTGAACGACAGGCCTCAAAAGCCGATGGCCAGCCTGCTGCTTTAATTCATCCTTGTGAAACGCACAATTCATGATAGCACTAAAATATATTCTCTCACTGAAATATAACACCAGAAACAGTACCATGACGATACAAGAGGAGCACAGCTGCAAATGGCAGCTTACTGTGGAGATTTGCAAGAGATAATAAATGGAATATTATGATCGGTCAACACTAATCCTTATGCATCAAGTCAATAATGTAACTACAAGTTAATTCTAACAAATTTTTCTTTAATAATGAAAAATATTTTAAGGTAAAAGATGAAGGTTGCTGTTCTTCTGAATTACAGTTTTCCAACATATTCTAATATTCGACTTAAATAACAGATTAAGTCAAGCACTGCGTTCAGCTTCTTCATCATCCATGGCCGCCTCTTCTCTAGGGTCGCTGAAGAAGACACGACAGACAGTGTTTTCAACGTTGTCCACCCTGCGCTAGCGTATGAACTTCGGCAGAAGACAGTTAGAGCCGAGAGAAGGCACGTTCAAAACACTTTCGCCAAGTTGATGCTGCCGTCCAATGGGTCTTCTGCAGCTAGGCTGGGCAAACAGGAATAATTGCTTCGCTTTTTTTTCTGGAGGAATTCGCTACACCTTTCCAAACCAACACGGCTATTACTTCTTAATCTGAAGAAGCAGCGGCTGTATATAGTAGTTATAATTGATCGGCCTTGGAAATTTTTGTATATCTCAGCCTCGTGAACTGACTAAATCCGGTTTAACAGATGTTAAGATTCAGTAAGGCAACTCAATTTATGCTAACACAGTCATTTTTTCTGAAATAAGCTAGCCTTTCTCTTACCTGCGTTCTCGATCAAGGACTGCAGATTGCCACCAATAAACATCTGAATAATACGACTCCAAAACTGTGTTGATATTCCTCATAAAGAGGTCATATATTTTCTCGACTATTTTTTGAGCACTGCAGTAAAAAATCAATCGTGAATAATGTTATTCCACAAATTTGTCGGCAAACTTTCGAGATCTAATGTTAATTTTTGCTTTTATCAAGCAGCGCTACGTTTACTTGTCGTCACAACTTTCGTGG